GGAGAGAAAAAAAATGAAAGCCATTAGTACCTGATAAACTGCCCAGGAAACTGAAGCCCAGTCCAAGATACTCATGAGATTGCACCACGACATTTTCCTTCTTTCTTTTTTTGAAAGAAGGGGTTCAGTTGGCATCTTCTTATAGAGAATAGAATAAGTAGATAAAGAAGAATGTTCCAAGGGAGATTTGTTCTCCATTGTGCCCAAATGTTTGTTCTAGGAAATATTTATAAAATTGAGTAACTTAGAAAACCTAAGCATTAATCTCTTGTCAAACAAACCCTTAAGTCATCCTTTCTGTAGTATCTCATCTCCAAAATATAATGCATATAATACTGTCTACTTAGCCTATTTCACATGGTTCTTTTTCAAATAAAATGTGATGGATATTAAACATTTAAAAAATCTAAAGTACTCTATCCATATAAGATTACATCATTAGCGGTAAAATTCTTGTTATCTAAATGTTGGAAACGTTTCTGGGTTGGCCAGCCATGTTAGGAGAGTTAGGCTAAAAGAAAGTATTTTCTGAAGACTGTCACCCCAGGTCTAGTCTTTACCCTTGGAGTTTTAGGTTGTATGTGGTGATTCTGTGCTCTTAAATTTATTTCTCCAGTGTTCATGTATAACAAATGAAGTTGGTTATTCCTACAATTAATTATTCCTTTGGAATGCTGGAGAATCACCCCCACCCAGAAGTCAGCATGTAAGGTCCAAAGGCTTCAAATGTCACTGTTCTTTGGATTTCATTCTTTGTCAAAATACCAACTGAGCCTCCATATGTCACCATGATAGTTTTTGGGTTTGTTTGTGGTTTGTAGGTTTTCTTTAGTAAGTGCTTTAGGAAAATGTAGCCCAATCCCCCAGTGAGAGAGACCTGCCAAGTACTCTTACCTAAAGGGTTTATTTTGTTGCTAAATATCTTGCCAATAATAAATATTTGGAGACTGTTCTATCACCATACAATATTTATATTTGTATACATTTTTTTTCATTAGCTAATTTTCTAAAGCAGATCACCAGGCCTTTCTTCTGTTATATAAAGTCACCAAAAGTCAGAGCCAACTCAATGGCAACTAACAAGAACCATTTAGCAGAAGTAGGGCAGATGAGGAACTCTGGTGGTCTAGTGCCTAAGGCACTTGACTGCTAACCAGAAGGCTGGTGGTTCAAATCCACCCACCACTCCTCGGAAAGAAGGTTGAGCAATCTACTTCTGTAGTGATATCACCTCAGAAACCCAAGGAGGGGTCGCTATGAGTCAGATCCGACTCAACGGCAAATAACAACAACAAAAAAAGGGCGGATGGAGTCAGATTCCACTCAGGTAAAGAATAATGTCCCAAAGAGCTAATAGCAAAGAAAACTGCAACTGCGTGCTACATAAAAGCCTTTTAAAATAGTTTATGTCTGGAACTGATGAGTCTCTGCTGGAGGAAGTTGTTCTGCTGACTGCTGGTTAATTGAGCCTCATTTTCCATGTTCATGGTGGTATAACTTCCAACAACTCTATATACTCAAGGAATTTGAAGAGCTCCACCCATCTGTACCACCTATCTAAGGCCCCTGAACCGAAAACAGAAAACCAAACTCACTGCCACCAAGTCAATTCCAACTCATAGCGACCCCCTTTGGGTTTCTGAGGTTTATTCTATAAATCTTTACGGAAGTGGATTGCCCAGTCTTCCTTCCATGGAGTGGCTGGTAGGTTTGAACCACCAACCTTTTGGTTAGCAGTCAAATGCCTTAGGCACTATGCCCCATAACCCCTTATCTAAGGCCCCTAGGATGCACAAACTGTTTGCACTCGACTACCACCAATCTGGTGGCATAGTACCTAGGGCATTTGACTGCTAACCAGAAGGCTGATGGTTCAAACCCACTAGCCATTCCTCAGAAGGAAGATGGGGCAATCTACTTCCTTAGTAATACCACCTGGGAAACCCAAGGAGGGGTTGCTTTGAGTCTAATCAATGGCAGTGAGTTTGATTTGGTTTACTAAACTGAAGATTGGCAGTTAAAAGTCACACAGAGGTACCGTGGAAGAAAGCCCTGGCAATCTGCTCCCATTAATATTATATCCACGCAAACTCTATGGGGAAATTCTACTTTGTAACACATGGGGTTGCCATGAGTTAGAACTGACTCAATGGCAATGAGTTTACCATTCATCTAGAGAAATTCATCCCACAATTCTACTCTGTCACCTCATCACAATCTAAAATGCCCTCACATGTACTCCCTGCCCCTCCATTGCCTGACAGGTCCACAGAGGTAAAATTAGTCATGTCATGTGGTGAGTATTGAGAGCCCCCAGAGGAGTCTCAATACTGTGTCCAAGTGCTAGATCCAAAAGTGGTAAGAATGATCAACAGAGAAGAGACTCCAGAAATGCTGCTCTGTGTTCCCACATGCCTTGTTGACAGTCTGTGGATATTGCTCTGAGACAATGAGTCAGAAAGTCCCTGATGATGCTATACTTGGGACCTGAGACAAGAAACATGGACTGCCTCAAGCTCCACTGCATTCTAAGGGTATGCTGCTGCCGCCATGGCTATAGCTCACTTCCTAGGCCAGTGTTCTTTTCTGTGACATTTCTGTCTTCTGCTGTAGTTTACTGTGAAACTTATACCCTATAGAGGGAATTATGACTTGTATTTTTCTCTTGGTTGGAAGAATGTGTTCCTCAAGGCAATTTTGAAATTATTAGAGTTACAAATAATGGGTGGAGACTAAGATGACAATTCAAAATATCTTAGTACATTCTCATCACTAGTTGATCTAACTAACATACAGTAAGTTCCCAGGTTATGAACATCTAACTTACAGAAACGTACTTGACCTTTAATGTTACATAAATTTTCCTTCACTTTGAAACTGTGGAACCAACCCCTACTCACAACAAATTAATCACAATCACCTTCACTTGCAGCATGTGCAGCATTTAAATTGAGCCTTTTCTTGCACCACAGTATGAATAAGTAAGAACCATATACACCTCTTCTGACTTACCTACAAATTTGACATAAAGACACAGTTGGGAAAGGATCTCATTCATAACCTGGAGACTGCCTGTATATAATATGAGTTCATAAATTAGCTGTTGATTGTGATGGGAGTGTTGAACAACTAATTTTGCAAGAACGTCTGTCATGCTTGCTCATGAATGACTGCATTAACCAGTCCATGAAGAGTTACTCATCAGTAGGAGTTCTAATAATCCTTATATGCTAAAAGTTTGTTCTAATGCCTCATTTTATGATGCACTTTTAAAATAGTCTGGTGTGAAACATCTAAAAGACTTCTAGGTTGTAATTATGAGAGAATGTGTGGTAGGCAGAATAGTGCCTCCCCTCAAAGATGTCCATGTCCTAATCCCTGGGACCTGTGTATATGTTACCTTACATAAAAAAAAGAATTTCATAGACAGATTAAAGTTATGGACTTTGAGATAGGGAGATTATCCTGGATTACCTGTTTGAGTCCATTCTAATCACATGAGTTCTTAAAAGGGGAGTACCTATCCCAGCTCTGGTCAGAGGGAGATGCAATTATAGAAGAATGGTCAGAGAGATTCAGTGTTGCTGGCTTTGAAGGTGGAGAAAGGGGATCATAAGCCAAGGAATGTGGGCAACTTCTAGAAACTGGAAAAGCCATGGAAATAGATTCACCCTTAGAGCCTCCAGGAAGGACCACAGTCCTGCTAACACCTTGGTTTTAGCTCAGTAGCTCAGACACATTGGTTTAGCTCAGTGAGTCCCCTGTCAGACTTCTAACAGACTTCAGAACTGTATGATAGATAATAAATGTGTGTGGTTTTAAGCCACTAAATTGGGAGTAATTTGTTATAAGAGCAGTGGAAAGCAAATACACAATGAATGTGCACAATACTTTGCATATGAGAAATAAAACAAGGATGAACAACTATAGTTTATTTTCATTAAAGTGGGTTAATAAGCCACAGATGAGCAAAATATTTTAGATTTTTAAAGTAATAAAGGCATATAAGTGCAGTGACAAAAAAAGCAAAATAAAATATGTCATAGGCATTCTTTTTCTAGCATCCAAAAGAAAGAAATTGTATTCAGAATGAAAGTAAGGCCTTCAGTTAAGGTTCAGATTTCAAAGCCACTTAGGAGAAAGGGTGCTATTGTTTAGTTTTGATTCTGACCAACATGCTAGGACAGATGCCTATACCCCTTTCACTATACTTTTAAAGCAATATAAGGTCACAACCTAATGTTTAGCTTTCATGAAAAGGAATCTATTGCCAAGATCTCAGCAACTCCCAATAGTTGGGCCTGGCCCAGACTAAATTCTCATGTATTATATTACCCAATCCCTTCCATTTCACCTCAACAAAGATCAATCCTGATCTTAACATTTTTTTAAGTACTTAAGAGATTTAGCTGAAAATACTATCTTTAAGAGAAATTTTAGCATCAAGAATTTCCAGAGAAGAAAAATAAATATTTTCATATTTAATTATTTATATATTCATTCATTTCACTAAGAGACTTTTATTAAAAGAAGCAGGTTTGTACAAGCTAGGATGTCTCTATTTTTTTTTTTTTTTTAACTAGCTTATGTTTTTCTCTTCTTGATAATCAACTTGCATTCTCAGAGATAATCCTAGTTTCTTTGTGAATAGGGCAATGGTTTCCTGAATCTGTATTAAAATTTTCACCCAAACTTATGCTTCTTTTCTGTTTCTTTTTTATGTCTGATAATATTCAGTCCTACAGAATGAATTCATTTAAGACTAAATGAATACGGAGTATATATGTATGCTGATGGATGACAGCTGAATATTGAGGAGGAAAAAGTTATGGGTTTTGCCTGAGTTCTTAATTTTTTTTTTTTTTTTTTTTTGGTCTATACCAAATAAGTCTGTCTTTCTGTTCTACTTACTACAATGTAGACCTCAAGTTTTACAAGTTTAATCTATATCTTTTAAGCAAATGGAATAAATATATACTTCTATTTTTATACCCAAACAGTTGCTCCTGATGACCCCAGCAGAAAAATAGATGGAGATACCATTATCTTTTCAAATGTTCAAGAAAGGTCAAGTGCGGTGTATCAGTGCAATGCTTCTAATGAATATGGATATTTACTGGCAAATGCATTTGTAAATGTGCTGGGTAAGCTTTCCCTTCCTTAAAGTTTCATGGAAAATATAGCAAATTAAATTAAGACTACATTGTTTTCCATTAATTCAGCAAAATTATATTGAACATCTATTATGTGCTCTGGTGGCATAATGGGTAAGACATTTGGCTGCTAACGAGAAGGTTGGAAGTTCAAACTCACCAGCTGCTCATGGGAGGAAGATGAGGCAATCTACTTTTGTAAAAATTTACAGCCTTGGAAACCCAGTGGGGGTTGCTATGAGTCAGAAGCAAATCAGTGGCAGTGGGTTTATCATGTGCAATCCACATTATTAGAAGCTGTAAAGGATATATGAAGAGGATAAGCTAAATGCCTTACCTACAGAATATTACAATCTGATCTTAATGTCTTTCATCACACGCTTTTTGAACTGGAAAATTATTCATTGTATAAATAGTCAAATAGGCTGTTCCACTCACAGAAGGTTAGACTTAGTGTCAAACTCCTCAAAAGGAAAATAAAATTTGTTTGTAGTAATAATTGAATGTTACTGCCATATCGTTCCTTGGAAATTAACACATTGAATAACAATTCCATGATTCCAATTTCTCAAAAATAAATCATTAGTCATAATGCTTGATCTTAATTCAATCCACAGATGTACATTTATTTGTTACTTCCTAAGAATATGTTTAGAAAGCCATCAAAGATATATTCAAACATATTCTGAAATGGACGGTTTACATGAACATTTTATTTTTCATATTCTAAAAACAAAATAGGAGCTCTGGTAGCATAGTGCCTAAGGCACTTGACTGCTAACCAGAAGGCTGGCGGTTCAAACCCACCAGCCACTCCTCGGAAGGAA